GAACTCGGGTGCAAGTTTAGATACTTCACAGCTACAAAGTGGGTGTTGCTTTTTTTGATTGATCGTGTCACAAATCATTTAGAGAACTCGTCCACCCCCAAATTTGTATCTACGATGCAGAACCTGTTGAGTTCTCTAAATGAATTATAGATATAACTTAAAACTAAAATTAATTTTGCAGTTATATAACAATTCTTGTGTAATTCTGTTATTCTCGAAAAGAATTTCAATGAGAAGATATCTAAAATTTTGATATTTCATGTTCACGGAGTCCATTCTCGCTATTGATAAGGTTTTAACTTTGTTTTGTTGAAAAGAAAAGTGGAGGGCAGGTATTGAAACAGATGATGTATGTGCAGAAAAATATACAATCTATGCAAAAATTTATCAATACAGTATGGAAATTCAATGCGACAAACCTATTCTTTTGAAAAGTGACACATCTTTCTTTTTTACCTAAGCTCAACAGTTTTGTATGATGTAAGCCGTGAACCCCCCCCCCCCCCCCCCCGTTGCAGGTCTAATTTTCAGCATGTTTACCCCCGGCCCAAAGCAGCCAGAGATTGTCAAGACTTTCTGTCAAACATTAACGTTTACCAACTCGACTGGCCTTCGTTAAGTTCACCTTTTTCTCCAGTTGAACATCTGTTGGACGAAACCCAACAGCTAAGGGCAACATTGTAGGAATGATTGAATAATATTCGTATGAAAAAAATAAATAAATTCACTGGTGAACTCCATGCAGAGGAGAAACAAGGCTTTGAAAAATAAACGAAGGAGGCAGAGGTGATTTCGATTTTCACTTTTGGAGGGTACCGTCATATGATATTCAATAACTCATAAATTATTGGTTAAAATAAAATGAGATTTTGGTTACTTGTTGACTAAAGATGAGTTCAAACTTTGGATTACAATTCTGAAAAAATATGTTCGAAAAAAAAAAAAAAAAAAAGCATAAAACCACTTCAAAAGTTTACCCTGCGTTTCTTTTTCCTTTCATTATATATATATATATATATATATATATATATATATATATATATATATATATATATATATATATATATATATATATATATATATATATATATATATATATATTTATATTATCTTCCTTATGAAACATATTATGTTTTATGGGCAGTATGTTTAAAATCTTTAGCAGGTAACAGCTATGATGTGCATATTAATCCTGCAGGACTGAACACCTGCTGGTCCTTAAGTATAACAATACGACTTTCGTGGCGTATATTTATAGAGCTTAAAGGCATAGGTACAACTTTTAGTTTCGTCCCAAGGAATCAAATGGATACTTTGTTCTGTGTGTTTTTTTGTTTCACTAACCATGCGAACTTTTTGTGACCAGCCATTCCGGTTACAAAGTTACAAATTGTTTCTGAAAGCTGGTGTCTTGAGTACGTCGATTACACACAACAATTTTACATAAATACTTCTAGCACATGTTTAAATGTTTAGATTTGTTTTTTTTTAAATGTTTATCACGAGTTAAAAAAAAAACTTTGTTTTACACATCTCAGGAGATCGATCTAGTTGATTTTTTTAAGTCTAAATTACGAAAGTTAACTTGTCTAAAAAAATTCAACTTCTCCCAATTCTTTCGAAATATTGGAATTAAAACTAGTGTAAAATTTCTGATTAAAACCTGTTTCAGTAAAAGATGTAAGTGCTTTTTTGCTATATCCTTCACTGAAACGTCCAATGACAGTGAGGAAAATGGTAAAATCACTGCATGAAATAACGGTGAGTCAATTGTGCTATTTAGTACAATTGTTTTCAGTGAACACATTGTCAAAATTCTCATGACTTTCCTAGTCCTTCATTGGATTTAATTTTAACTTTGAAATGTGATACATGTACTACTACTATATGTTAACCAAATGTGTAATCATTATTCTGGACTGTGTTATATACATTGTAGAATTGTCATCCCAATTTGGCTCATCCCAAAACTCGCTATTGTCGGTTTAATAGTGCAAGAGGTGTCAATTCGGTGATACACAAGAAAAGACTCATACAAGCAAATACAAAAGACATTGTTATTGGGAAAACAAACAAGCAAATACAAAAGGCAATGTTATTGGGAAAGCAAAAAGTAAGTGCAATAAAATATTCTGCACGACAATTTATGAAGAAAGCATCATACAGAATCCTTCGACAATGTTCTCCTAATGGATCCTATGGATTAAGAAATGTTTTGTAGAAACTGCAGCATAGCATGTGTAAGCCATGCCCTTTGAAACGGCAAGCTGGTTCTTCTGGTACTAAGATAATTTTCACATAAGCAGATAATTTACCTCCAGATGGTTATAGAATTATTTATGTTGGTCATCTTTCTGATTCTATGACTGCTATCAATTTACACGAGGCAGTATATACGAAATATACTCCCCTGGCAATGTCTGGAATTTTCTTGATGCAATTTAAGTAGACTATGTAGTATTTCCTAAATTTACATGTGTGATAAGTTTTTTAATTTATCAACTAGTACGTATTAAACAAATGGTCAAGGGATATTGATGTACGCAGTATGAGAGGGGGCATAGCATCTGGAGGAGGTGTATGTGGTTTGAGTGAGTTGTTATGCACAATGGGGATTCCAGGTATTCTTTTAAACAGATACTCTAACATAGAAACAGGAATTGGAGATTCTTGGAAGGATTAAAGAAAAACTGGGGAGGAAGAGAAACGTTTAGCCATTGCTCGGAATGATTTTCACTATGAAGTACCAGTTTTATATGTTGTGTGTGATGGTGGGTGGTCTGAAAGATCACATAAACATATTTACAATGCACTAGGAGGGGTAGCTCTTATATTTGGGTTGAAGACTGGAGATTTTTTGTTTATTGGGGTGAAGAATCGGTACTGTTACATTTGCGGTAGGGCTACGTTCAAGGGTGTAAATGCATGTAAGCATGAGAGCTCCAAAAATTGGAATTAAAGCAGTTTGGCCATGGAAGTAGATATTCCATTAGAAGGCGTTTTAGAGGGAGAGGAGGTCCATGGAGTACGGTACATGAGGTACTTAGGCGATAAAGACAGTTCTGTGTTTACGCGAATCCAGGGGCAGACTCCAGTATGAGGCGAGAAGTTGCAAAGTTGGGATATGCTAACTTAAGGCGTGTACAATGTTCCTTTATTCGATAATTGTGTCATGTATATTCAAAATATTGTGATTCATGTTCAAAATCTTCTGAGGTATATTCGATAATCTTGTGATGTATGTTCGATAATCTTGTGATGTATATTTAAAATCTTGTGATATTTATTCAAAATCTTGTGATATTTATTCAATAATCTTGTGATTCTGTATTCTTGTGATGTATGTGCAATAATTGCATTTTGGGTAATATTCACTTAATTTCGATATGCTTTGTTAGGGCTTTTTCATTGGTCTCCAAAGTAGGTCCCTTTTGTCAACAGCAGCATCTAGAAGTCGCTGTGAATGAAGGAGAGTCCGCGGACTGTAACTTTATTAAACAGCCGATAACCCAAACGTTTGCGCAATTCTGAGAATCCTGTTACCAGTGAACATGTCCTGAAGTTTTTGTACGACAAGGAAACAAATAATCTGCATACCGGCGTCCAGGCGTCGACGAGAAGTAAGTCATACAAAGTCACGGTAGGTAGGTAGGTAGGTAGGTAGGTGTGATTCATGATCAGTGCACTTTTGATTAAAAAAGGAATGATTATGAATTGATCATAAACATTATTTGTGAGAAAGTGATCTGTTCACGTATTTGTTATCGAATTTTGGATTAACTCTTTTAAATTGTAAATTAAACTTTTTATGACTTTTTTCTTTTTTTTCCATTTGACCCGGGGAGGGTTGGGGGGTTCAAGACAGATATTACTTTCAAATCTTTACTATTGTGCTTCTTACAAAATTTTTAAAACTTGTGGTCCCCAGGTTTTGGTGTTTCTTGAGGCCCCGGGGGAGGACTATATTGATAATAAATTGAAAATGTGTTAATTATTTGAAAATCTTCAACTAAGTGCATACTAGTTTCATGTAAAATGATGAGGGTACCTCTACCAAATTTGTGAATTTCATTACCCTGGAACATGGGTTTTAGTGTTAGGGTAGGGCTGTGTTGAATCTTTAGAGAAAAAGCATTATTTCTTTGAAAATCTTCTCTGCTCCTTGGCATATCGAAGGCAAATTTAATAAAAGTTTTAATAAGCAAGGATATTTTTACCAGATTTTTAAACATCAGGACTATTTGGTCAAGTGTTCTGGCCCTGGCCATAATTGTTAACTTCCTACAGCATATTCATAAAGTGAAGAAAGTTTTCTACAATGTACATGTAAGTACTTTTTCTATTTGATACATGTAAATATGCTTTTTACCTAATATGTATTTTTTCAAGTTCTGTATTAGTTTAAGCCTACAACACTACTGAGATATTTGTGTTCTTTTTCTTTCATATAGAAATCACTCGAAATTCGAAATGTTTATATAAGCGAAACATTTTCCTTTCTGGTGAATATTCATTAAGATTGAATAATTACAAGAAAACTAAAAATAATCTTACAGGTATACAGGTGCTCTGCGGATAACAGTTTTAACGGTTGTCCCTCTGGTGTTTTATACGACCTTTTCTGTCTAAGACGCATCGACGCCGTCAGAGTTTATCAAAGATTTCAATGGTTATATGAATGTTTGCCAACGGGTTGGTTGGGAACGGAAGAAAGGTATTTATGTATTGCCACAAAGCACAGTTACTGTAGTGACTTATTATTTTGTATTCTAACGCACTATTCTTCTTACCTATCTCTCCGGTAATAAAATTTCTGATTAAACGACATATGGAATGGGCAAGGACTAAAGTGAACTTATTTTTCCCATGTTTTCTACTGTCAAAATAAAAGTGTTTGAGAGCAAAATTCTTAGAAAGAATTTATTAAAACGAGTTTTTATTATTGTTTACATTGTGATACTTTTATTTGATAATGTCATTGGATATGTTTAATAATATAGGGTGTACGTCAGTTGGTCATGTGATTGCCTTCCACGCCGCCATTAAATTTCGTCTCCGTAACGTTCCCGTGAACACAATTATAAAATTTGAGGATGTTTTACTGAATAAAGGAAACGGATATGATCCTAAAACAGGTGTTTTTACAGCACCAGAGGAAGGTGTTTACTTCTTCGAGTGGACATTTATTTCAACCAGAAAATCAACAGTTTACGTAGAGGCAGTGGTAGACGGTGCACGGAAAGCATCGACTTGTGTGAATGATCAACAAAGTTATCATGTTAGTACCTCAGGTCACTTGCTTTATGAGCTGAAGAAAGGAAACAAAGTATGGATCAGAACATTTTATGTGAAGGCTGGATATATGCACGCTGACAAGTACACATATTTCTCGGGATACAAAATAAGCCACTTCTAGATAGCAAGGAAGAACATCTACATATATATTTATGATAAAAGAGCATTTGTGAAGTCAAAGTCTATTTTCAAAATGCATGTAAAATGTTTGACTGTTTAAATATGATTGCAAATAAAATTTTGAAATCATTTCCGTTACTCGTTTTTATGGATACTTGGACATACATGAGATATATATCAAAGTCAAAATAGTTTGCACTTATAACTTGCTGACGAAACCTACACTTGCGGATTTGGGTACCGATAAAATTTTTAGTGTACCCTGATTCTGGAATGAAAATGCTTTAGTCAGCTACTAAAACATTTGCACAAAAACTAATATATATATATATATATATATATATATATATATATATATATATATATATATATATATATATATATATATATATATATATATTAAACTTTCCCCGGTTTAACTCCTTTAAATGCCTTAAATGCTCAATCAAACCTCTAATCTCCCTGAAAGGAACACAATGTGCATTTAAATAGTGCTCAGCAGATCCGTAGAACAAATGGTGGACAAGCATAACAACCTATTTGTTTTCTAGACATAAAGCATAAAAATTGTCCCACAAGAGAGATTAAACGTTTATGATACTAGGGTTGATCTAAAAATTAGGGAACTATCTTTATATTGACAAAACCACAAATCAGATCATGCAGATCGAATGAAATTTGGCACACATATAGTCTTGTTTTATAATTATAAATAGGAGATGATATGTGATTTTTGTTCCATGTTTGTGTCGTCACATGTTAAAATGACGTCTATATATAGATGACTTGTGACAAAAATGGTTGACTCAGTCGTACTCGGGCAACGAACGGCTGTAGAGTTTTTCGTATATCTTGGAAATTCCTTTGCAGTAACATATAATGCAGACCCTGAAACGTGCTACTACCCCAAAAAAGCGTGTGACTTTCGTGCGCTTTTCGTTTCGTGCAAACCGTGTAGCGTTTCGTGTAAACCGTGCAGCGTTTCATGTAAGCTCCAAAGCGTTTCGTGCAAACCGTGTAGCGAGCGTGCGAGAAGCGTGTGAGAAACGTGCGACTTTCGTGTAAGAAACGTGTGAGAAACGTGAGACTTTCGTGCAAGAATCGTGTGCGAAACGTGTAGGATTCATTCGGAAGTCCTTTTATTTTTAATATGACTATTATTGGATCAACATGTCATTCTGTGTTGTTTGTAACTACCCGGTAATACTATTCGGATATATCATACCGGGGGTATTTTAAGAGTGAAAAAAAAATACAGAAACAACAAAATAAAATTATTCGGTAATGTATTACATATTTGTTTGATTTTCTTAAAGCGTTATTTATTTATTTAAATTAAGAGAAAATGTGTTCAAAGTAATTAATTATATGTATATGCACATCAATTTTAAGGTAATTGATTCAATACATTTTTTAAAGGGAGCAATACTAATTTTTTTTAAAAGAAAATTCATTAGGAATCCGGTCTTGTCCTTTTCATTCATTTATTTTAATATCTTCACCATTGTACATGGGATATAGAGATTACAAGAACATATCGGTGATTAATACAAAATAATAGATAGATACATGTATGGCAGCAGTGAAAAATAAAATGCAAAATTTAGTGCGTTGCTATAAATGTGAAGTATAGGAATTCTAGGCCGGGGAGCACAGTTAATTGATTTTCTGTATAAACGAACATATTTTTCTTATAATACAAGATTTTGTGATACAATAATTTTGAAAACGATGATTCATTTATTGTCTTCTTATGCATAAAATCGGTTGATTAATAAAAGTCATATAAATGAATTATAATTTACATGCATCGGCAAATACAAGGTTAAATATTTCAAGGTGGGGGGGGGGGGTCAAATGAAAATACAAACTGAGTTTTTGTTGTAATCAAGTGTTTTATTGATAATTTTCTTTTGTAAGAAAATTATTGCTTTTTTCGATGGGGTGCGCCCGATGCACCCTTAAAAATATATTGGAATCTTCTTTACACTTTGAACACTCTTCTCACGACTGTTATCAAGGTCATTTTACAACAGCGATCACGGACTCCGCGTGCCGGGACTGAAAACTTGTTCAGCTATTATCTCTTGTCAATCATAGCTAAGATGACATCCGACAATAACGATCGATTAATTAAAAGGTAATACCCGTTGATTTTATTTCTTAAATTTATCCGAGTGTCTGTAAACAGTGAATTAATTTGCCAGTGTATTCGTGAATAAAATAATATAAAGAAATATATCCTATAAAATTATATATTAATTGTTTTTATTAATCAAGCAGTTCTAGAGCATATTTTTTTTTTGTTTTTAGGACATAGGACATGTATACGTATATGAATGTATTGATAAGAGCCGCGACTATTGATTACATAATTATTGATTTTTTATTCTAGACGGGGTTTGAAATCAAGGATTTTAAAAGGTGGTGGGTATATTGATATTTGATAAACATAATACCGGAAAAGAGAACTAAAGAATTACAATACATATCCCCCTGTTTCTCAACGTGCCCGTTATATTTAGCCATGTACAGATTTGAAGATACAACAGTAAGATCTCGGAAATCTACCCCCCCCCCTTTTCCTGCACAATGTTCCTGTTTGATGCAGAGTACATATTACATTTGCAAATTATAAACAGAGCCTAATTTAATCAAATGAAATTATTTTCTTTACTAAATCAAAAAAATGTATAAATCAATCAATAATAAAAATAATGGAAAAGAAAATCAATCCGTTTACAGAAATCATACGCAATTTAATCTTTTTTTTTCAAATATAACTGTGAAACTGAGTTTATTTGTCAGTAATAAAGTCAGTAATGAAACGACTTTTTAATATCAAACTATAATTGTAAAAAAAATTAAATGCTGTTAAAGATTATGAATTACAAATATAATTATTTTTTTTTTCAGTGCGTAATTTAGAGTCTAGTGAAAAAAGTTTGATGATGATAAGCACTTCACCGGGCGGGTCACATACTGAATGACAACTATTAATTAATTACAACTGAACATTGAGTATTTTATCTGTTAATATAGTACTAGTGTAGCGAGTTTTAATCTTAACTTAATCTGAATGATTGTAATTCTTAACTACTCGTTGATTTATCCGTAATAATTGAAATAAAGTCCGAGAGATTCCGAATAGAAAATCCAGATCGAGGCCAAAGCGTGCGAGAATCGTGTACAAAGTGTGTTAGAAACGTGCACAGAGGGTTTCGTGCAGGCTTTCGTGTAAACCGTGCAGCCTTTCGTGCAAAGCGTTTCGTGCAAACCGTGTAGCGTTTCGTGTAAACCGTGCAGCGTTTCGTGCAAACCGTGTAGCGAGCGTGTACCGTTCGTGCAGCGTGCGTGTGGGGTAGTAGCACGTTTCAGGGTCTGTAATTTGTGCAAGGTTTATGAAGATAAAAGACTTGCTAGAAGTTCAATCATTATTTCCCTAACAAAAAATACTATAGTTTACTATAGTTAACTATAGTGATAACTTTTTTTCTGATCACTAATTGTTAAAATACTTAAATTTCATAGTAAGAATAAAGTTAAAAGTGAATTGAGAAAGGAACAAATTTAAAACAGTATTTGGAAGGAAAAGTGACCGATGATATTTTTCCGATGAATTTCCTACGAAGGATACACATTCCTACACTTATTAAGAAATAAACTCTAATTATTATAGAACATAAGGCGGATAGTTTAGCAGAAATTCTAGTTTTTTTGTGTTTTGTTTTTTGTTTGTTTGTTTGTTTGTTTGTTTGTTTTTTTTTTTGCTGTTTTTAAAACATTTTCACGACGTTTCAATTAGAATTATTTGGTTTTTTGAAAGCTTTAATTTGATACGTTTATCTAGTATACACAAAAAAAAAAAGAAAAGAAAAAAAATCATCAAATGTAATTTGATATATTGAATGCACAGTTCTTTGATTTTAACGAGATTTTTGCGTGTTCGTACTATATACATCAGCATAAAAATATGATCATTTATCTATATTTATCTACATGTACATTGCACACATATTTGAATTAAAATACAGTTTACATTTTCCAATTTTGTCACATTGTATAATTGTTAACTTCTTACAGCTGATTCATCAAGTGAAGAAACTTTCAACAATGTAGATGTAAGTTCTTTTTGATCTGATGCATAAAATATGCGTTTTACTCAATATGTATTTTTTTTTCAAGTTCTGATTTTGTTTAAGTCGTACATGTATCTACAACACTTCTGAGATATTTCTTTCATTTCTTTAACAAAGAAATCTCTCTAAATTCAAAATGTTTATATGGGCGGAAAAAATATCCGTTGTGCTAAAAAATTCATTAATATTGAATAATTGCAAGAAAAATATAAATAAACTTACAGGTATACTGGTATTCTGTGGATAACAGCTTTAACGACTGTCCTTCTGGTGCTTCATACGACCTTTTCTGTCTCAGAGTCATTAACGCCGTCAAAGTTTATCAAAGATTTCAATGGTTATATGAGTGTTTGCCAACGGGCTGGCTGGGAACCAAGGAAAGGTAATCATTTATTGCCGCAACGCACAACACTGACTTATCATTTTGTATTCTAACGCACTACGTAACTATCGCTCTGGTAATAAGACGTCTGATAAAACGACATATGGAATGGGCAAGGACTGAAAAAACATATGCTCCCATGTTTCCTAATGTCAAAATACAAGAAAAGTGCTTAATGGAAGAGTTCTTAGAAAGAACTTATTAACACAAGTATATGATATTATTTACATTGGGATACTTTTATTTGATAATGTCATTTGCTATTTTTGATAATATAGGGTGTTCGCCAGTTGGTCATGTGATTGCCTTCCACGCCGCCATTAAATCTCGTCTCCGTAACGTTCCCGTGAACACAATTATAAAATTTGAGGATGTTTTACTAAATAATGGAAACGGATATGATCCTAAAACAGGTGTTTTTACAGCACCAGAGGACGGTGTTTACTTTTTCCAGTGGACATTTATTTCAACCAGGAAATCAACAGTTTTCTTAGAGACAATGGTAGATGGTGTACGGAAAGTATCGACCTGTGTGCAAGATCAACAAAGTAATCATGTTAGTACCTCAGGTCATTTGCTTTATGAACTGAAGAAAGGAAACAAAGTATGGATCAGAACATTTCTTGTGAAGGCTGGATATATGCACGCTGACAAGTACACATATTTCTCGGGATACAAAATAAGCTACTTCTAGAAAGTACGGAAGAACATCTTCATATATATTAGTTATGCAAAAAGAGTATTCGTGAAGTCAGTGTTTATTTTCAAAATACATGTAATGTTTTACAGTGTAAATTGAGGATAATTAATAAATTTTGAAGTCACTTCCGTCTCTCGTTTTTATGGATAGAAGATTTAACAAAGTCAAAATATTTTTCACTGGAACAAGTAATTAACTTTCTGAATTTACCTTTGTTTGTTGATTTGAGAAACAAATACAAATTATAGGGTAGCTTGATTCTGAAATGAAGATGGTTTAGTAGGAGGCAGTTATTAAAAACATAAGCTCGAAAACTAAAAAAATATATATCTCTGATAATTTTCCTTGGTTTAACTCCATTTAAACTTTAAATACGCAGTCAAACATTTAATCTTTTTAATAGAAACAGAATGTGCATACAAATAATGCTCTGGAGATCCGATGAACGAATGGTGGACAATCATAACAACGTATTTATTTTCTAGACATAAAGCATAAAAATTGTCCGACAAGAGAGATTAAATTTTTATGATCTACCATGGAAAATATATGGAATCGGAAATTATTTAAATGGAGATTCAATATGACAAACCTATTCTTTTGAAAAATGACTCATCATTCTTTACCTACGCTCAACAGTTTTGTATGATGCAAGATAAGCTTAAAAACCCAAAAGTAAATAATCCTAATTCTTCCAAAAAATTGACCGGGAGTTTTGTCATTTGGTTGATTTAAAAATGTTTGCATGCGTTTTCTTATGAAAAAAATTCTGTAATTCCGGCTAGAAATGAATTGCTAAAAATCGAAAGCACAATCTTGTGATTTTGTCAAACTAGAAAATTAACCTCTTCAGTAAACACTTTGAAATTTTCAAAATATTTCATTATGGAACGAACTATCTTAACACCTTTTATATATAAAACAATACATTTTATGTATAATCACGATAACCTCCACATAAAAGTCAGTTAATGATCAATATTTAGAATAAAGGAGAAACTGAATTACCTCCCGTTTTCTTACCGAGTAATAAGTGACTCTGTGATATGGTGATAGCGACATAAAAAGTCAAATCTCCGTACAATGCAGTCCAATCATTTTGATGTTCTGAAGGAGAAAATGATTCTTTTAAGAAATAAGGTATCATTTTTAAACATCTATCGGGATATAAATACGGGTTGGTCACGAGATCAAATTCCATAAAGCCCGAAGGGCTTTTACGGTAAATTTGATCTCGTACCAACCCGTATTTATAGCCCGATAGATGTTTTAAAATGATACCTTATTACTTATATTTACATTTGTGACTTGTTCATATTTTATATTTACCTGGTTATAATCTTTAACGCGTGAAACGTTTTATTTTTCAAACTCAACGGCACGTATTTGATCCATTGTTTGCACGTCGACCCTTTATGACGTCACTGAGAAATTACGTCAAACGTTTATGACACCAGGAACCTGTGTTTATATGGATATAGATACGCGTTGCTTTCAATAGCGTTATATAAGTGAAAACATTTGCAAATGTAAATATTGGCATATTAATGTTTTCCTTTTCTTAGGCTATTAGCATCATGACCGAATTTCCTTGGATGTTGCAGTTTGAAACTTTGTTTTGATGTGTGTCGATTACGATGCATCATAAATATATACTCAGAACTTCATTTTTGTAAATATACCATTAGCAGCTGCATATTATTTTTTTTTTGTCTCCGAGTTGATTCGAAACGGAAGAACATGTTGTACAAATTCTAAAACCAGGCAGATTATTGACAAATAAACGGATGATTCAAGGATATCAACAATATCGTTGAAAGTCAGCATTTTGCAATTTTAAGCCCATACAGTGACCTTGTTTGTAAATACGTTCTGTTGACTGACGTCTTTCATGCAATTTGTTAGGCCATTATTTTCACTCTGGATTGTCTACGGATTTTGCCCTTAGCTCAAAATCATGACAAGGGGTACACGGTGTGTGTAACCGGTCGACAGGGGATGCTTACTCCTCCATGGCACTTAATTCTTCCTCTGTTTTTAGAGGTCCATTTTGCCTCTGCTCGCAATTTTTATTGTTTAAATGAGCCTTTGAACTTGAGCACTGTTCGTTATCTTCATATATCATATTTATTATATAGAGAACATTTAGAACAATTTTTAAATATAACATAAGTACGCTGTTCCTGTAATTTTAAGAAAAAAAAATATAACGCTTCCATGATTTTAGATCCCCAATTGACAATGAAAAGATATTGTGACGAAGGAGACTCTTAATGATAGAAATATACCCTATGGAATTTTAAGTTCCTGTAGACATTTCCATATTTTCATGTTCCTTTTATACTTTGATTTTATTAACTGGGAATTCCGTGTACGTAGAGGTATGAATACCTTTTTCATATGTATTCAAATTTTATCATACAAATCAGAGAAAAGAAGAAAAAGAGACTAGAAATGATAATGTAGGGGTGGTTATCTTTGTTGAACAAACAAACTGAAGCAAAATTTTGCAGTAAAACGTATTTTATCCCCAAGTAACAGGTTTGATTGTCACAATATGAATGACTGTATGATTGCAAAGTGACTTCTGATTGATGCCATAAAATTATAAATGTATAATTATTTCATAACTTCTAAAAAAAGTATTCAATCTGCGATACCAATCAACTCATGTAAATATTAACAGCTATTTTATTATCATGCATGATTTTTTTTTTTATTAGCCCTTCCTATCTTACAATTACTATTCTTTTAAGGTTCATTGATACTCTGTTAACAGAGATTACTCCAACTGGTATAAATTACTATAATTATTCCTTGATGAAATTTTCAAGTTTACAGGCCATTTCTGTCAAATTTTGCCCTTCAAGGTATGCTGAAATTGTATGCGTTTTAATTACAAATTAGAGTTCTTTTGGAAAATCATCAGCGTAAAAGAATAATTTTATATACGTGAGCAGAGGGATGATGCACCTTAAGTACAGCAACATAAGAAGAAAGTAACTCACAGGAATTTAAGGAAATTCATTTCTTTTACAAAAGTGCTCCAACATTTCTATAGAAATGCAATAATTTTTTGGAGGAAAAAGGTGAAATCTACATTCTAGTAATCGGTAACATGGAGAATTCAACTGGGCAGAAGTGTTTGGAACCAATGGTTTAATAACTGATGCGTCATCTTTATGGCTTTAAACGTCATGATATTCTCTGAGAATGTGGCGCTGCTGTTCTTTCTGAAAGATAGAATCAAAGCAGAACTTCAGATTCTAAAATCAATTGTAAATGGTTTAATCAATATAAGACTATCTCAAACTGCTTTTCCAGAATAAGAAGAAGTTTCTTTAACAGTGACAAATATTTTAAATATTTTCAAGATATTATTTTCAAAATCGGAAATCTTATTCTCAAGGAGTTTCTGAAATCAATTGACCTTATTTTTCGTGAGTGTTGTAGTTAGGATTTTTCTTTTGTAATTTAGTTTTCTATTTATTTATGTGTTTTCAATTTTTTTTATTAAAATTTTTCTTTTGTTATTTAGGTTTTTAAATTTAGTTTCAGTTTGCTTAAAGGGCTTCTACCACTACAGATCAGTAAAGCAGATTCCAAACTTCAAAGAGCCAGTGCCAAGGGTACGATAGATGTAAATGCATTAAAATACATGAAAAGTTTCTAATAGCCCATTTCTTCATTTTTAAAGTAATTAACCACTCCTTTGAATAGCATTTGCGGGCACTTTTGACGACTTAAAAAGTAGGGATCCTATAAATGATTAGGCATAAACACATTGATTGAAAATGATTTTATTTCCTAATTATTGATATGTATTGAAGAAAAATGTTTTATTAAACGATAGATATTTTAGGAAAGAAATGTAGTTTGTATAAACATGCATCACAGATATAAACAGATATTTTGTTTACAGTAGCGTTAACATGAATGTGTTGATAAAGAATATCTCTGAAAGTGTGTGGAACTTTTTTTTTTCTTATCTTAAACAGAAAAAAAAAACTTGCATCATTCTAGTCTTAAAAATTTCAGTCTGAGTGAAAGGTAGTGACGTTTAATTAGAGTTTCTTGGTTTCTAAAAATCTGATAAGTTGAGAACCCTATACAAGAGACAGTATATTAAAGACATTTTTATTAGTAAGATTTACGAAGTTGTACATGGCTTTCAACAACAAGCGATCAAGAAGGAAAATATTTTAATTCCTTAAGCATAACTCTACGGAACTCACGTTTCTTCAATAATATCGAAATATCAGGGAATAAAACATCTCCAGATATATTTTATTGTTACAGAGAGTTGAAGGTATGTAAAACGATATAACTGCTATTATGCTTGATTTCAACAAATAACATGAATAACGCATATGATTTTTCAAATGCCTAAATTATTTGCTTTCATGTACAAAATACATATATTTATATAAAACATTTTTACCTCCTATTTTAAATTAAAATAAAACTATTTATTACTAATATCATTGCTTATAAAATTTGATCCAATCTTACCATGTATATTTAAAACTGCAAGACTGGCGTCTTATTGTATTTAAAAGAATGATTTGATTGAATATATTTTGATATCATTTTTTTCCTTTAATTAGATATAATCAGTTTCAAAATCTTGCAATTTGAAGCTTATATCATCAAACCTGAAGTATGTGATGAAAATGGTTCTGGTTGTTTGAATTTTCAATTTTGATAGAATAAACTAATGTGCGGGAACAGTTTTTGCACTCAAAACTTATTATAGTTTTAAAATGCAAATAGAAATGCATTTCTTGCAGAAATTTACAGAAATTTGACCCCCCTCCCCCCCCCCCCCCGAAAAAAAATACGGAATGAAGAATGGCATTTCAAAATTTATTTAGACATTAGAAATCATGTAAATATCTTTCATTAAATTGTATTATAATTTTTTTTATATTTTATTTCATTTGTGTTTATATATATATATATATATATATATATATATATATATATATATATATATATATATATATATATATATATATATATATATATATATATATATATATATATATATATATATATATATATATATATATATATATATATATATATATATATATATATATATATATACTATACTATACTATACTATATATACTATATAATCATACTTTACCTGCAGTATGATGAAAGTAAGAATGAGGACATGAAAATTTGATGACATTATATGTGCTCCAGAATACAAAAAATATGAGGATGTTTTTCATTTTAACCTTGTTTCCCGTCCTCATTGCATCATTGCCCCTTGCGGAGTCATTCTCTCTGGCCGAGTTTATGGAATCCATTATTGGTTACAGAAGCGCATGCAGAAAGCTTGGCTGGGAACCAAAACAAGGTTTGATTCAAATAGTACGTAATTGAATATTTCTATAAAAAAATGCAAAAAAGCTTATATTTTTTGTTCTTAATTAAGAACGGAATCTTGTCTCAGCTTTGTCATATGCGTCTTGCCTTACCAAATTGCTCAAATTCACACATTAAGTACATAATGTTTGGCTAAACGTAAAGTTGAAATAGAAATATATGTGATAGACAGTGTAAATTGTTTGCCAGTACTTCTTCGTGGTCACTTTATTATTCCATGTGTTAGTGACATAAAATCGGTGAATTTTTGTTATAGTAATGTCCCTGTTTGTATTTAAAGATTATAAACTCATTATCTTTATCGTAGAATATCTTATCTATGCATACTTCTCTTTTATTTTTATCAAGAAAATAGTTAATCTGTACAAATAAAAAAAATTGTAATTTTTAGAAAATTTCCAGAAATTCTCCTTATTACTTTCCTTTTCTGTCAGTTATCATCGTCGCCAGCCAAGGTTTTCGGTCCACTCCGCTCCCCATAAAACGGAGTGGACCGAAAACCCTTGGCTAGCGAAGATGGAAAGTTATCGACGAATCGGCACACAAAATTTCATGTTTCTGTTCAGAAAAGCATTTTGACATAAAATTACATGGCAGCAGGAACGGGGGGGGGGGGGGGTGAATTATTTTCCCGATATATAGAATACTATAGAAATCATAGCTACTACAGTTGAACTTCGGTATCTTAAACACCGATTTCTCGAACACCATGGAAATGTCAAAGTGAATTTTAAGTTCCAACCTTTTATTCTTTGAGTATTTTACCACCGATATATCGAAGTCATGGATATCTCGAAGATTTTTTTCGGTCCAACCTAGTTCGAGATATGCTTTTCCCCTCAATAATAAGTTATGATGATCTTTTTATTTTGTTTCTCAAGAATTTTTTTTTATTTTTGGGAGCCCCCCCCCCCATAAAAAAAAATGGAAAACTGAAATTGTTTGGTAGCGCCCAAAAACTGAAATTGCTTCCTACGTGCCTGAATAATATAATTAATGTTTAGTCGGAAAATTGTAGAAATTAATGACAAATTATGCAATCTTTCCTCATAAATTGGTATATTATTGGGAAGAATAATTGCAGACAGGAGAGAACCTCAATTTTTTTTTTATTTCTCAAATATTTCTAACTTAACATTAAGTTGGAATTAATTTATCAACTGATAAAGAAATTTGAATATTTCAGTGTTATATTTTAATGGCGATAAAAATAGTGACCATTCGTTACCCACCGACTAAAGAAAGAATGAATAAAGTTCATATTTAATAAGTCTCAAATCGATATTTACTTCGTCAAGCAGCGATATTGTTCATGTGTATGTAAAAGAAACACATAAATGTACATATTAACCTGTGCAGGTTCAAGCTGAGGTACTTAGAAACAATAAATCGTTTACGTCTCTTAGTTTTCTTAAAATGATGACGAGACTCCATATTAATATACAAATGGTAAACATATCATACCTAGCTCGTTATACATTTGTAGTTCACTTTGATAAAGCGGAATGAAGAGTGAGAGTAATACATGATTGTATAATTTTTATGGACAGATGATTTTGGTCGTAAATGATACAAATAATAAATTTCTAAAATTTTTAAAAATTAGTTATTCTAAAGTTTACCTTTCTTTAACCATCCTTATTAATCTGTGTAACTTTTTGTCACTTTAAATCCAATGATTATGAAACTTCGATTAAAATTTAAAAACTTATATAAACATGAGTTAAGTTCCTATATTCTTTAAATAAAGGTCTGTATCATATTTTCTTATGATCACAAAGGGGTATTATCATTACTAGCTCGTTAATTGATCACGTAAATGCTTTACAAAATATCGTATTTTTTTTTTAAGTTTGTCTTCTCTTTTAGATTGCACAGCATCAAACGTGATTGCCTTCCATGCCAGCTTGAAGTCTAGTTTAAATAACATTCCTGTGAACACAACCTCAAATTTGAAACAGTAAAACTAAATAAAGGCGGAGGTTATGATTCAGAAACTGGCATATTCACTGCACCAGAGGATGGAGTATACTCTTTTGGTTGGTCCTATCTGTCAAAACAAGGAGCAACTGTTTATATTGCTGCTACTGTTGAAAATGTTAATCATGCAAACACGTGCACAAATAATCAACAGAGTGGTTATATGAATACATATGGCTCCTTACTTTTCGAACTTAAGAAGTGTAACAAAGTATGGATGAGAGTTTTTCACACACCGGCAACATTCATACGAGGGGTGATCAAAAAGTTTGCGATCTAATTGAATTACTTCCTTAAAAGAAATAAAATGAGGTTTCAGTGCTCACTATTTTTTAAAGTAGTCCTCTCTGATTTTAATGCACATCTGCCATTGTTCTGCCCATGCGCGAATCACGTGATCTAGGCGGTCACGTGACATGCTTCGTAGCAGTCTGTTCACAGAAGCTAAGAGATTTTTCCTAGTCTTATATTTCTTACCGTGCAAGTAATTTTTTAAAACAAGAACAGACCTTCTGTCAGAAATGGCCAAATCTCGGCGATAGGATGGGTGGATAATTCTCAGAATTAGCATGGTGACCATCACAAACCGAGTCCTCTGTCTCGGGAGCGTCGTTTATCAAATGTTGAAAAAGTATGGGCGCCTTCTTTTTTTCATATCTCATATGTTTAAAGTCTAAAGTAAACGATATTTTAGGGATTTAATTATTATATTATTGCTCAGATATTCAACTATTTTTCTTACTGTAACTTGGCGATATTTCAAAACAAATTGCTCAACTAAGGACACATCATTTTACCGGCTTGCTTTCGCTGGGCAACAAAACAAACATCATTCTTAACCTTATCCCTGCCTTCACTAAAACATTCAATCTAATTAATGATTGAACTTCTGGTAAGTCTTTTGTCTTCATAAACCTTAAGCTTGTACAAACTATCATATTCTACTGCGAAGAAATTTCCGAGATATACGTTAAACTTTACAGCTGTTCGTTGCTCGAGTACGACTGAGTCAACCATTTTTTGTCACAAGTGACCTACATACTGACGTCAGTTTCACATTGTGACGTCACAAACACGGAGCAAAACATTATTTAACATCTGCTATTTATAGAACATGTGTATGACTATATGTATGCCAAATTTCATTCATTAAAAGATGTTCGCTTTCTTTTGATTCAGAGCTTTATAGAGGTTCCGTTTGCCACGATATTTCGAATAATATACTGTACAAGATTAAACTTTTAATTAGTTTTAATTTGTTGTTTCTTTGACTTATATAAAGAAGCAATTACCGTCATCTCAAACTAATTATCATTGGCTGTGTCGGTAGCAAAAACGTTGTCCTCTGGGTGGGTATACAAAAGTAAAAGGAAGAAAGAGATCGAAAAATGCAGAGAATTCTTGAAATCCAAAAGATAGACATCTTTGCTTTAGCGGCAAATAAATTTGCTTCGTTTATGGACATACTTTTGGTCCTATTTGTCACTTATTACACTCACCCATAACATTAAGCCATTATTGATAACGATTTTACTTTTAAACAATCTATTTGAACATAGTCTACTTAGAGAGTCAAAAAAGTCTAAACATTATTGTTTATGTATACACTAGATACAAGTAATTGCATGCATGCAATTTTTTTTTTTTACTATTTCAGTTGATGTGAAGCTCTCTGACCTGTTTGTACCCAAAGGAATAATATTAACTAGTACTCGGACATTTTGGTAATAGTTTGAAAACACTTAAAAAATATTTGTAACTTTTAAAGAATGATGTGGACACCCCTTGTTCCTACTTTCTTGATCCTTCTTATTACATTATCCATCGTAAGAGCATCATCTCCAGATGAATTTATGGGAGACATGAACGGTTATAGAAGTGCTTGTAAGAAACTTGGCTGGGAGCCTATGCGAGGTTTGTTTCTTAAACGGTAAGATTAAATCAAGTAAAAGACTAATAATCATTATTCTGCTAATTTCTTATCACCATGACTTTTATACTGAATCATTTTAAAAGAAAAAAAAATATTTAAGGAATGTTTTTAAGTTTTGTGTGAGTTATTGATGTGTAAATCATACAGACTTATCACGTACGCATATTTAATGAAGTGCGCTAGCTCTTCATGAAAAATATGCCTACGTGTAAGTCTGTGTGATTTACACACCAATTATTCACACTGAACTTAAAACATTCCTTATATTTACATTTTACATGTTCAAAAGCGCCAAAAATATACTCAATGTTTGAATCATTTGCTGCCCTATTTTGTTACATTTTTATTAACGTCTCGGTAGCTCATTGTGACGTCACTTTAGCGTGAGTTTCTCCGTGCATATTTCTACGCGTGAGTATACACGAAAATGGCATTCTAAGCATTTTCACAGCTGGCTTAGTAGAAAAACATCGCAAATGTAAATATCCATTATTATATCTCAAGAGATAATAATAAAACATGTGTATATTTATTTCTTTTGATTTTTTTCCTGTCCTTTTCATTCAGTTAAAAGTCTGTTTTGTTTTTGTGGTATGCAGATTGTACAGCTAACCATGTAATTGCGTTTCATGCCAACATAAAGTCTCATCTCAACGATGTCCCTATAAACACGACTATTAAATTCAACAATGTCCAGTTAAACAAAGGTGAAGCTTATGACCCTGAAACTGGCATCTTTACTGCACCGGAGGAGGGAGTCTACTCTTTTGCGTGGTCTTTTCTTTCAAAACAAGGAGGAACCGTGTATATTGCTGCAACAGTAAATAAAATAGACCGGGCCCATACGTGCATTGGAATCCAGCAAAGCCAGTATATTAGCACGTCGGGGAACTTGATCTTTGAACTCATGAAGGGAAATAAAGTATGGATCAGAGTTTGGCACATTCCAGCAACATTCATACACGGTGGATACTATACTTACTTTTCCGTAAGTAAAATAAACTCTTTTTGAAAAGAAAATTTTTAGGAGTGCCATGTTATTATGAATCATTATAGCGTCTTAAGGAAATATATATGATGCAACCGCTTTTTGTGATACATTTCACAGATGATCAAGAATATTAAATCATATTCAGCGTCTATTTTTCCTTGTATTTAAACATGTTTAATGCATACGTTTCTTTTCTCCATGATATTGTTTGTTTGAGAAGGAGATAAGACTTAATTTTCACCAGATATTCACTACAGATTGAACATAAAAGTAAAAAACTATTTTTAATAGATTAATAAGATAAAGGACGAGAGTGTCATGCATCTCTGTACAGTAAATCCCTTCTACGACTGTCAGCACTTTTGTGCATATTTTTATGTTATCATTAAAGTATCACATTGAATCCTATGCAGGCAGTTTTTCGGAACTACATAGTTCAGTTAATGGAATAAAACGCAAGATATTGCAAACTTGAGCAAAAATGACTGGGAGCATGTCCTTATTATGTTACTCGAAAAAAATGAGATGAAAGTATTGGACGAGTGGCTTACTCTCATTATTTCTGTTAACTTACGTCATTTCAAAGATGTGTAGTTCTTTCCCAGATGTTACGATAGGGAATAAATAAGTTATAAATCGTTGTTTTCCATTGAAAATGATTTAATGGCAGATTTAAGAAAGAATGAATATTTCATTTTTGTGTTATATTTTCTATGTAAGAGAGACTTAAAGTTAACACAAATCATCCGTCAATATGAGCGTCAAATTAATAAAGTTTTAAATATTATGTCTACAGACAAAAGTAGATAGATATACTAAGATTCTGGTAGATGATGATTATTATCTTTTAAGAATATCGTGTATATCCAAAAATAAATAAATTAATTATTTGAATATATATAATTATGTATAATAATGTAACCCAAATCCTTCAATGGGATTGGGTATTAATCCAGGTACAGTAACATGTCTGAGGAAGTTTCTTTATTTTGACTATGAATTTGTCTTTAACTTTTTATGTTTAAATGAACCGACATTTTTCTTTTAATTAGCCCATGATCTATAATGAATTAAGAAAGAACTACAAGCAAAATTGCCATGCAAAAATATTTTTTTAATTACATAAGAAGGCAGTTTGAAAAAAAAAAAATACAGCCATATCATTACTGTGTATTCAAAATCTAATACAACGAAATACAATTTGTGTCTCTTTAATACAAAATGACAATAAACATATTAATAATTTGTTTGCAGTTGTTCTGTATGTTAAATAAGTTTTTTTTATTGTCTTGTTGTCTGAATAAAAATATTATCTTTTCAATTGAAACTTTCTATTTTGCACAATATATTCTACATATTTCACGACTCATGAAAGTACTGTCTCGATTGAAAACTACGTAACTGTGGAAATCTCTCAGCATCTTTAAATATCCAAAGAGACTGTAGACAGGGCGATCCTTTAATACTGTATGTTTTTCTACTTTGTACAGAAATTCTAGCTATACAAATAAAAGAAAATAAAAGGATTAATTTTGAATAAAATTAATAAACAGTTTTCATTAAGAAGATATTTTACCATTCAAAGTGGTATTTTGTGACCGTTATAAAGCTATTTGCCATTGCATTACATAAATAACAATAATTTAATTCACTTTCTGAGGTTAACGGCAAACAATAAGCTGTAAAAGATGAAGATATTAATTATCGTAATTATCGAACTGTATTGTAAATGTAATGGATACATTTTTACAGTCCTTCATTTCCAGTATCTTGCTACAGTCCCTGAAACGTTCTACTTTCCCACTTGAACGGTGAGCGAACGCTGAACGAACGGTGAACGAACGTTGATCGAATGCAGAGCGAACGGTGAGTGAACGATGTGTGAACGCTGAACGCAACTTGGTGAACGATGTGTGAACGGTGAGCGAACGCAGAACGCGAACGGAGCGCAAACGCAAACGCAAAGTGAACGGTGAAGGAACGATGAACGCAAGATGAACGATATATTCGGAATGCCTCTATCTTTTCCTTGCATCGAAACTATTGTATTATAATGTCAGGTGCCAAAAAAAAAAATTAATAAATAAGTAAACAAATAAATGAATGAATAAATAAGTCAATACAATAAATTCACCAAAATTGTCCTAAGAAAGACGATGCATGCACATTAAGTTTTTAATCAAACGATTTTTATCGCTTTAAAACATTGCAATTGTTGCCGAACGCTGACACTACTGTAATGATTTTCCCCTTAGATTCCAAAAAATCCCCTGACGTTCCCCTGTCTGTCCCCGACATTTTCCTGTCTCCCCTGACTTTCTCCTATGATCCCCTGTCGTTGTCCCTGACTACCCTGTCTACTCCCTGACGTCCCCTGACTTTGCCCCTGTTACCACTGTCTAACCCCTGATGTCCCCTGACATTCTTTGACGTCCCTGTCAACTCCCTGATGTCCCCTGACTAAGTCCCTGACCACCCTGCCAACTCCCTGTCGTCCCCTGACATTCATTTTGACCAGGAAAAAGGGTTAAAATATGTTTCTGTTGCTATTTACTTGTGAAAAAATCGATACCTCACTCCTAGCAATGTTCAAGTTTTGTGAAAATGTAGATTTAATCATTAGTTTTTCTGTTGAAATATCTTTAGCATATTCTTTCAAAATGTTATTTTATTGATTGTTACTAGCTTTTCAGATAAATCTTAATAAGGATAAATGCCGTTACTTAAAAAAAAAAAAAAAAAAAAAAACTAATTTTTTGTGTTCTTGTGTAGCTGAATGACATGTAAATATATTATTTATTTATTTATTTATCTGTTTATTTTTTTTATTTGTTTATTGATTTTATTAATTCATATATCTGTTTATTTATTAATTTGTCTGCTTATTTATCTATTCTTTTTTCATTTATATATTTATTTATCTTATTCAATCTATCTATTTAATTTATTTTTACTTATTTGTTTTATTTAATTATCAATAAACAAATGGATTTATTTAAAATTTCTATTTATTTATTTTATTTTATTAAATTATTTTAATTTATTGATTAATTTTTATTTAATTCAATTTGTGTAGTTATTCATAAACAGTCTCAGGGTAAAACTAATTAGCTTCAAACTATTTTTTAAGCATATTCAAATTACTTTTAATTCTTTTAATTTCATGATGCGTATCAAAATCATCGTCTCATTACACACAATCTGAATCTGGAATTTGTTTTATTGTTCCCTTTTACTTTGGTAAAATAAAAATTTCCTCAAAAACTTGTCACGGTTGTGAAAGAAATAACACCTGCAGAGTGGATACGGTCGTGCTGCCACAGAATAAACAGTGTATAGTTGTCAGTCAAAAGAACAATAGGTGTCAGGTCTGTGTACCCAGAGTCACTGGTCAACTATCAACAGCTCGGAACTACTCTCACAATCGTGACAGTTTTTGAGGAACATTTTTTTTTTTTTTTTTACCAAAGTAAAAGAAGCAATAAAACAAATTCCGAATTCAGATTGTGTGTAATAAGACAATTATTTTGATACCCATCATGAAATTAAAAGAAGTAAAAGAAATGTAAATATGCTTAAAAGATACTCTGAAGCACATTTTATTTTACCTTACGACTGTTCATGCGAAACTCACAAATAAATTGAATAAAATAGAATTAATTAATTAATCAAAATAAAATGAATTAAAAACTAAATAAATATATATTATTAATCAATTAATTAATAACTCAATAAGGAAAATATATCTAAAAAGAAATATATGAATAGATTTAATTAATAAATTAGTCAATAAATAAATGAAATAAAAATAAATAAATAAATACATGTGGATATATAGATTAACATATAAATAAATATAAATATATTTACTTGCCATTCATGACAAGACGCAATAAATTTGTAATTCATTCTTTTCCAATTCACTGGCATTTTTCTCCTTAAATTTTATCTGAAAGCTACATGTAGTAAACTAAAACAATCAAATAGAATCGTAGTAAGAAATAAATTACTCAAGATATTCAAACAAATAACAATTGACTAAATATGTATTTTCACAAAACTTAAGAATTGCCGAGAGTAAGGTATTTCTCACAAGTAAATAGCAACAAAAACATATTCTAACCCCTTTTCTGGGTCAAATGAATGTCAGGGGACGACAGGGAATTGACAGGGTGGTCGGGGGCTTAGTCAGGGGACATCAGGGAGTTGACAGGGACGTCAGAGAATGTCAGGGGACATCAGGGGTTAGACAGTGGTAACAGGGGCAAAGTCAGGGGACGTCAGGGAGTAGACAGGGTAGTCAGGGACAACGACAGGGGATCATAGGAGAAAGTCAGGGGCGACAGGGAAAATGTCGGGGACAGACAGGGGAACGTCAGGGGATTTTTTGGAATCTAAGGGGAAAATCATTACAGTAGTGTGAAGTATAAAAGATGTTTTTTTATTGGAAAATAAAAATGTTTATTCTTATTTGATAGCAAATCAGAGAAAACTTCTGACTTATAGAATATATTAAAGCGGTTGTAACATCCATTCATATATCTCCGTGTAAGGCGATTTCGTGTAAAGTAATGAGAAAAAAATAATTACAAGGATCAGTGGACGTTTTGCATTTATACGCTCGTACTTTAAATGTTTAATACAATAATATATTATGTGTCATTTTTATTTTTCATGATGATTTATTGAGCTGACTTCTACATGTATATGTAGATGGCCGTGGATATACTCGGACAAGATAATACAAAGATACATATTCATATTATTTGTTTTAAATTCAATTTTCAGAACTTGATATTTAAGTAATATGCTGTTATAGTGTTTATTAAACAGACAAATGAGAGAGAGAGAGAGAGAGAGAGAGAGAGAGAGAGAGAGATATTCCGTTTTAGCCCCCCTCCTTTCAGGCTTCACTAAATGTTTGTACCTATATCAAACAAAAACTCTGAATTTTTTTTTCTAAATATATCAGACAGTGAAAGTAACGTTTTTTTCATCAACAAATCATATCCATTTGTTTGACAGCCATACTCGTTTTTATTTTCCTGCTTCAAGTTCACACGAAGTCCACGTGCTTGTCCTGTCAATCAAAATCATTCGACACTGTGCATGTGTGAAA